GCCTTCATATTATTAAGATTTAGTTCGAAAAAGGAGTTGTAGTAATTCCTTTTACTTAAACGAGTTAACAGTGATAATTTATTACGATACAATTTGTACTCATCCCATAGACCATCGTGGTATGACTTGTTTTTCTTACGTATAGAGGTGAGTAAGCCATTGGTTTTCCAAGGCTTTGCCATCTGCTTAGCTTTACGTCTAGATACTGTTTGAAAAGGTGCATGCTTATCAACTAGTCTGTTAAGTTTGTTGTAAAAGACATTAAATGCACAGTCAGCATCAGAGTTAGGGGGCCAGGTGATTACCTCGAGATCATTGTTGAAATCAGTTTGGTTAAATGATGAAAGATCTCGTTTGCGGATTCTACTATTAGAAATTATCTTAAGGTTGCTAGACAGGAAGCAAACCTGTGAGTAATGGTCACTGATGTCGGACACAATGTTACCACTCAGTACAAACTTATCTAGGCTATTAATGAAAATATTATTAATTAAGGTAGCGGAGCTACCATAAGACCTTGTGGGTTTATCGATAGTTGGAAGTAGAGATAGACTTTGTAAAGTTTCAAAAAGTTTTTGGCTATAAGGGCAGCTCTCAATTTTAAGGAGATCTATATTGAAGTCACCAAGTAGGATAATGTCATTATTTCGGGCGCACAGAGTTTCAAGTTTGCTTGACAGATAATCTAGGAAATGATCTGGACAATTGTGCTGCCTATAGACCACTCCACAAATGATATTTTTTCCTTTGCGCATGTTTAATTCACACCACAAGGCTTGAAATGATGATGTAGATTTCTTTTCTAGAACTCTGTAGGGGATAAGCTCATTTATGTAAAGCCCAACACCTCCAGCTGATAGAGGGGTTGGTACATGTTCAAAAATTGTAGCCAGGTAAATTTGGATTGAAAAGTAATGGTTTATCCTTAACTATCCTAGTTTCAGATACTCCAATTATACTGAAACGAGTATCAAGCTCATTAAGTAGATGATTCTGGAGGTTTTCAAGATTTTTGCTAAGACTTCTAATATTATTATGGAAGATAGAGAAAAGGTTGTCAGGCTGAGCTAGCCTATGTTTTTGCCTGAGGAAATTATGAGGAGAAATTATGTCAGTTAAGCCGTGATGTTATTGGCTATGAAGACTCGTAATCAGTAATTGGTGCGTTTCGATCCGTCTGTTGTCACAGTTAAACAGTCGTTTATTCTTAGTCAAATTGTCATTCTCTCGTAGTTAGTTTTGCTTGATCTTTTTAGGAAAGATAAACACCAATACCTGGAGGTTAATTTTAACACTAAGGTTAAAATTATTCGTCTAACCACAAAAGGTCTTGGAGAGAGCTTTGTTACATCAATATCTTTATTTTACAGCGATGATGGAGTTATTTTCAAACCGCTCAAGCAAGGTAGCAAGACAAAGGTACAGCCGACTTGATTTTGAGGACCTTTGTAATAAAACTATTATTAGCGCCTAACCACATTTAAACTGGTTTTTCTACACTGATCTCTAAAGCTTAGTGATTAGGGAGGGAAATAAGATTAGAAAAAGTGTTATTATTATTATTAGTACTTTGTTATTACTTTTATGATATATATGTTTGTTTTGTGTCTTCATTTGTGGAGAACAGTTAATGAGAAGAGCAAAAAAGCATCTCACCCAATCAATGTCTTTATGGTTGGTCAATCAAGAAATGAGCGGAATTTTGTCACCTAGCAGGTTTACATTGAAATCTTTCGCAGATTCTAGTTTAATCGAGTTGCATGACGTCATAACTCCAAAAAGCCGCCATCTTGGATTCTAGAAAGTTAGAAAAACGCATTTACGCCAAATTAATACAGAAAAAAAGATACCATTTGATACCATTGCCTGATTTCATACCGTGGGAGCCTGGCACTAGTTATCAGTTTTGCCGGACGGAAGTGAAAAAAGATGGCGGGAAATGTGAAAGAAGACTCGCCCAAAATGGCTTTTGCAGCAGTAAAAAAAGTCATAAATGATGATTGCCTTGAATCACTCAACACAAAAAACTTGGGAGAACTTTGTAATAGTCTTAAACTTAAAGCTTCTGGGACTAAAAGTGAATTGTTACAAAGATTGCTACCATTTAAAGATGACCCGGCTTTGCTCGACAACAGAGTGAAGAACATCTCTGTGAAGTACAGCTTTACGACAGCCCTATCGAGACAGGAGATCCCACCACCAACAGCTGGATGGAAATGCAATACTTCTCTCTTTCCCAAGATTTCAAAAGACGTTATCAAGACATATCAGTCTAATAAGCGACAGGGAATGATAGGACAATTTCGCAAAGCTCATCGAATGTTTTCTTCAAGACGAATGAAAACCATCAAGGTTTTCAAAAATGGTAGCCAGTTATTTGTCAAGTCAAGCATATTAAAAAGCTTTTCTTCTGAAGTTACACGAACTGCAACTGTCTTGTTCATTGACAATGTTCCCAAGAAAGGTTTTTGCGAATGTGCTGTCGGGAAGTGTGGTCTCTGTTGTCATGTTATCGTTATACTGCTACAGTTAGAACACTTCACAACACATAAAAAGCTGTTTTTGTCTTTGACCTGTACAGAGAAGCTTCAAATGTGGCATCGACCAAATGTAAAGAAAGGGAAAGAGGTAAAAGCTAACTTGAAGGCTGCTGCTCATATCAGACTCAAATATTTTAGAAATGCCAAATCAGCAAGACATGTAAATCAAAGAACAAAGAAGAAAGTTGTAGCTAGAGATGTAAGTGATGAAAACAGTGACTGGCTGAAACGAGATATTTCCTCCATGAGCTCTCAAGTAGTAGATGGCCTGTCTAAATGCAGAATCAATTTATCAAATCATTTTCTTAAAACTCTAGAGAAATTTAAAATAAGACACTCAGGATTGTATCACCATTTGTCTTACAAAAATGCTTATCTGAACAGAGTTATTCAAAATGAACATGACTACACAAAACTAAATCCTCCAGCAAACCTGGAACAAAACTCCAAAACACCTTCTGAGTGTGAGGATAAATGGCACTCTTCATTGATAGCCAATTCTAACAACTCTAACCAAGATAATTGCACAGTGGGACAGCCTACTTCAGAATGTCAAGAGCAAATATTTTGTGCAGATAAAACTCAAGAGTTGTTAGAATTGCTTACAAACTCTAAAGATGAGATTATAGCTGTTAAGGTCCCTCAGCTTAAAGAAGTCAGACTAACTACAAGTGCAAGATACATTGATGTTCAACAAGGCACTTCTGATTGGCTTAACCTGAGGACGGGGGTAATAACAGCAAGTAAACTACCATCACTCCTGGGTTTTCATGGAAACAAAGAGTTTGATTCATCATGGTTTTATATTCTAAACAAGATAGATGAAAGTAAATGTAAACCAAAGCAATACAGAAACTTTCAAAGAGGAAACTACTATGAAAAAGAAGCTTTAGAGCACTTTCAGAAACTCTCTGGTAAGTCAGTTTATTCGAAAATATTAATAGTAACACAATACTCTGAAATTTAGCAAATAAGTATATTACCAGCATATCATGCAGTTAATCATGTACATAACATAATCAAATAGGAATACACTTACATGAACATAAATGTAAACAAAAAAATTAATGTAAGTTTGAGTAATCATGTATTGATTTCTATTTTTTTCTACAGGTGTCCCAGTCTCAAGTTGTGGGTTTTTCAGACATCCATCAGACACAAACTATGGAGCAAGTCCTGATGGTATTTCAGAAGCATTTCTCGTTGAGGTCAAGACAAGAGCAGAAAACTCTGAAGCCCCATTAGACAAAATCACAGGCTCACATATTATTCAAGCAAATTTTCAGATGTCTTGTGCAGGAGCAAATCTTGTATTTTTGCAATCTTATCACCCTGAAAAGAAAAGTTCAAATATATTTTTCATACCCAGAAATGACCTGCTTATAGATGTCTTAAAAGAAATAACTGATCATATTTTACATCACAAAATTGTAAGTAAGTGGGATTATGAAGAGAATAACCATCTCTCTGAACTTGGAAAGAACTTATTAAATACTGTCCCTAGCTTTGACACATTACGTCAATTCCGTAAGTGGGTAAACCAAATGACAAAGCATATAAAGAAGGTAGTCTTTGTTAAAACATAGTCATGTAATATCAACAGAGTTTTTTGGAACTAGTTGTAGTTGTTTTATTTTGGTCCAACTGGTTTTTTTAACATATTAACAATATGTGCAAATATTTGGAAACAGCAACCAAGTAAATCAATTCTTGAGCTTGGCCAAGTTTTGCTTAGAATTTGCCAATCTCTGATTCTTCCTATGTAGTTTTCAATGTAGATCCTCAATGTTGCAATGTCAAAGTTCTTTACTACCTCAGTCTCATCGAATTGATGAGAAAATTTCATTGGAGGTCTATTGTGTAACAGGCCTTTCTCATGACAAATATCTGTGATATTAAAGCCCTTGTCAGTCATAACTGTCTTCCCTTTTGTGACTGTATCTAGCACACATGATTGCTCTGTTATGTCAGCATCACTAATGCTGCCAGGAAATGCATCGGTACATTTGAGTAAAAAACCAGGAGGAAGGGTCCACAAACATATCTTCCCTGTGGTGTGGTTCTTGTAGTTCGAGAATGTAATATTATTAATATCAAAGTTCTCTGATTGGGAGATCCAAATTTCAGTTGCATCCCCTATGAGAGCAGTATCACCATATCCTGACTCCATAAAACATTTTGGCATATAGTCATTCAAAAATCCAGGTAATGGGGTCAGGTCAATAGACTCAAAAATGGTGCTCAGGAATACACACCATCCTACAAAAATTCTACTCATAGTTGATATACTTGAACCAGTCATCCATGCAATAACACCAAGGTCCAATGCATGTCTACAAATTGTCAAGAAACTGATAAGTTCTGTCTTTGTGTCCAGCTTTCTAAGATAGGACGAGTCGTCATTGTTACAATCAGGATAAACAATTGTGTGCAAGAAAGGCTCCAAACATTCATATAGACAATCTAATTCGGAAAGTGATAATCCTGTCATATAGTAAATTCTATCTGGGTATCTCATAAGTGCTTCATAACTAAAAGTTTGGCCTTCGAGTGCTTTCTTCATTGCATTGAGTTGCTGACTGTTGTTCGCAGCATTTTTTTCAAGTTCTGTTTGAGTCTTTGACAGCTGTTGCTGTAAATCTTCAATCAAAGCCTTTTTTCCATTTAGTTCTCTCGTCAAACTTTCCACTTGACTTTTAAGCTTCTGATTTTCTTTTTCTACGTTCGCAGCTGAAACCCGTCGCTTTTTAACACGCGGTACGGGAGTTTCACTCCTGTCTTTCGGGGGTTTCCTTGGAGTACTCCTCACGGTATTGGCATTCGACGAAGTAAGAACCGTTTTTGTACAGTCAATTTTCCTTTTCAATTCCCTAGATGGTTTTTGGGAGTACTCTTTTTCCAGATTAGCAGCATATTCTTTTGTACAAATTATGTCTGGCAATTGATTCTTGTTCTCTCGTTTCCCCGAGCTCCAGTGAGCGCTGCATATAACATGTTTTCTCCAGTTAATATTTTCGTTCATAAGAACTTTCCTATATCCTTTTTGAAGCTCAGGATCGCTGGGCAAAGTGTAGTACGTTATTCCTTTAGTTCTGTAATTATTCGTACACAAAGAACTGGCACAATTCCAATGCCAAGTTTTCGTGTAAGTCGCCATCTCTACGCCATCAAACTGAAGTGCACTTCCGTCCGGCAAAACCGATAACTAGTGCCAGGCTCCCACGGTATGAAATCAGGCAATGGGATCTACTGGCCAACATTAATGGCGATTGTGAGGCTGTGATCACTCTTCCAGTGCCATTTGAAGCGGTGTTTGTTCGCATTAATCCAACCGCCTGGCAAAACAGCATTGCCCTGAAAGTTGAGTTTTATGGATGCAAACTAAATCAGGCTGCTCTTTCAAGTATGTATTGCAAGGTGTAATTGTTTTGACTGAGAAAATAGACGTTTTTTTTAATATTTATCTAAAAAACATCACTTTTACAGGTATGATGTTGGGAGTTTAGAGTAATTATTACAACTATGAGAGCACTATAAATAAATTAGACAAAATAATTGTCAAAATTCGCTACTTTCGTACTAATTCACAAAAATATGTGTTTAGGACCAAGCTGTCAAATTTTGCACAGCAGTCTTTCAAATTTATCCTCGAAATTATAGTCGAAAACGTTTTCTTAAATTATATGATTGAATAAACTTTTAAATAAGTTTTTATACCCAATTTTCCGTAGAAAAAAGCTACAGTTTGTTCGAAATGACAATAATAGAAATAACAGTTTTTCGAACTTAGGACTTAGTTGACATTTTCAAAAAGAGCAAGAAAACAATAGCCTCTTGTTCCAAATTCAGCGTGTTGGTGCAAATTGGAGGTCGGCATATTAGTACCGTGATACTCGTAGGACTCTACATCACCTTCTAACTTTGTTTGTATCGTAGCGTTTATGACCAGGTGAATTTCTCTCGGACATGGAGCTTATAATCGCTGGTAACGGCAGCGTCTCAATCCCGCTACGGTGGCCTATATCTACACCAACAACTCAGTAGTAGAGGGATTTGTAGATAGTCATTAGATGATTACGGTGCTAATAGAATATCCCACCGCCAATTTTGTACTAGCTTATATTTGGAAAGAAAGCCTTATTTTTGTTTTCATTTTGTTCTTCCTGATTACCCTACCGATCTCAATATTTTTTGAATATTTACTGTTTTACTGTTTTAACTCTATTAACATATGTTTTCTATCCTGTTCGATCTTATACGTTGAAATTTGATTCACATTGCAAAATTTATATTATACCGGTACTTCTTTTCTCATCTGCAATATTATCGAAAACAAATTGTACAGAGTCATGGACCCCTGATACTGATAAAAGTCATCGTTCAATTTTTCGAGTGTAAAATCCCTAAAAGAGTACTCCTCAATGGAGCAATATTAATATGAAGAAGGTTTTCAAAGGTTTCACACCGGTTTGAGGCTAAGATGTGCGGCCTGTCTCTCCTTGCAATTTTTACTTTTTGAGTATATACATTATGACATACAACACTCGTTTTGTATTCCAAACGAAAAATTAGTATAACAGCACCGGGGCCTTTTGACAACGAAAGTCATCTCCAAGCAAGCGAGACTCAGCGCTACTCAGAGAGCGTTCTTGTTTTATTAAAAACCCCACAAAAACTCGTTGAATCTCCCCTACTAGAACTAACCGGAAAAGACAAGGGACTTCCGCTATTCACATGTCACACGTCTATCAAAACTGTCAACAAGCGAACGGACTCGCCTGGACTGCATGAATGAAAAAATCGAAACATTGCAGCAATGAACATTAATTTTTAAAAAACTCATCTGGATTCTAGCATTTTACAAAGCAGGACAGCTAAAAAATCCGGGCAGATAATGTGAAGGAAAAGAATTTTTAAGTGACAGCCGTCGAAATTACTGTGAATTTGGATTTTCGGTGCAGTTACAAAAGTAAGCACAACGGAGAAAAACTGTCACCTCAGTCGCTTCTTATGAAGTTGTTTGAAGCCACAAGCTGGTTTTGCAGAACGAGAAAATAAGCTATACTGCCGCCTCGATTGCTCTAGTGAATGGCTGCATAGCCTGTATTTGTAGCTGGTTACTTGTGATTTATATTCTTGATGTCGGATAAACAAGCCGCAGTTATCTATCGGCGAGTGACTCAATCGGCGAATGGCTTCGCAATCATGAAGAAACAACACCTGTCTTCTTTCGTGGCTGGTCAACGTACTTTAGTTCCATGTATTTTCACGTGTTTTTCGACAAACTTTCAAACAAGCTCTTGTGGCTTTTTTGTTTGTTTTTGTCTTTTTTCTTTCGATGAAATTGCATTTCTAGTATTCTAAGAAATGAATTAAAACGATTTGCTTCGGGCGCCGTTCTAACCTTCGCGAAAAAAAATCTCAGCTAGCTTCCAATTTTAAACTGACGCATACATCGACCATATATGGAGAGCATGGTATAATAGTTCATATACCATAACGGCTAAGCCAATCAAAATACTAGAATTGTATTATCCAATGATTCAGTTTTTAATAAAACAATTATATTCCACCCGCGCTTGTTGGATATAAGATCTAGATAGCCAACGAGGCGCTACGCGCTCATGTCCAAAGCGCACTCGTGGAATAATTGTTAAATAGATAATATTTGGATACTATCACGTCATACTGCGATTACAGGATCCTGCAAAGGTTCTATTTATGTTGTCACAAATTCATTTGGTTGCTGATGAAAATGTTTTATGTTTTCTTCCTTGTAAATTCCCAGGGGTTTAAATTGTTGAAGCAGAACAAGATGTGGTCAGATATTTTCAGATATGAGGGCTCTTGATTGTTCTGGAAGAAAAAGAATGATACAGTGCTTATGAATTTTGTCCGTAATCTTTCGATGGTTTGGATCAATTTACGTTTCTGGGAAACCGTCCACCCACCCCTCCCCTAAGCTAACATTAATACTTGCTTCTCACCAAGGGCAAAATGATGGCTTAGGGGAGGGGTAGGTGGGTAGTTTCCTAGAAACCTAAATTGATCCGATGGCTTATGCAACGCGGCCTTTGGGTGGAGGCAATACTCATGACAAAAGGATTTTAAGGGGAAAGGTTGGGTTACATAGTGCACGAGTCTATAGGGGGACTGTAAAGGGACGGAGAACCACCTTTCACATTAATTGTACAATCGGCTTTATTCCCGTCCTATTGATCACACAAATCTGCTTTTGCCGACAAAATTAAGATGGCCTCCTTATACAGTTACTACTCCTTTATGGTAAGCTAGATTGTGACAGATCTTAAAACAAGGAGAGGTATTTAAGGGCGCACCTCTTGCTGTCGTGTAGTTCTTACAGCAGGATCCTCAAGGTAAAAGCAAAAAACTCAAAGGTGCCGATATCTTTTTTTATTTATTTTTTGTTTGAAAAAAGTTGTTGGGCTTACAAGGAAATGCTCCTTCCAAGACCTGATGCAATTAGCTCAGTCTAGCTACTGCTTAAATAAGGAAAAATTGTAACCGACGGATGATTCTGTTTCTCCTGTTCGTATTTTTGACTTCGGGTTCTCCTCTGTCGACAATCAGTTAAAAAGAAATAAAATAAATAAAAAAACCCTTTTTTAGAATGCCAGACATTCATTGTCTTCCCATCAGTTCATGTTAGAAAAAAGATGAAGTACCAGCGAATGACTATATATTTACTCTTGTTTGCACAAAATTATGGTACTATTTTAATCTATATATCTATGGGGCAATTTCCTACCCAGCATGGACAAAAGAGCCAAATCCCTGCTACGAAGGCCACTATTTACGCTTAAGTACATATGATCGCGTGCATTGTTTAATTTTGGATCGCCGTTATGGTGCTGATTTGCTAAATAAGCGATAACAAGACTAAATTGCGATCGAAAGCTGTGTTTTGAAATACACCTGTTCTATAAGCAGCGAATGGAACAAGGACGACAGTCTCGCCTTAAAGATGTATTTTTACCTCTACTTTGCGTCAGTACTTTCTATTTGTAAGGTGAGTTATCAGAAGAATTTTTTTCCCCAAAAATAAGGGAAAAATATTATATTTAAATCGGAATCGTTTAAACAGAGATTGGCCGCATTAAGGAAACTTGAGACTATGCTAGCTAAGGCGGAAAAAATTTGATAATAAGAGCTCTTACTATTATTTTTACTATTTGTTCTTTCTATATTTGAGATACACTGATTTCCAGAAAATAAGCGTCTCCGAATTTAAGCCCCTCGGAGAGGATCTAGCAGAGAAGAATAACTAGGTATCGAACTTATTATTTATAGGATTCAGGCTTGGCTTTTTTTTTTCTTTCTGTTGTGCTTCGTTGTAAACTAAATATCGTGGTTAAACTACCTCAGCTCAAAACTGAAAGGGTGTCATTTGTCAAATGCTTGTATAACTTACATAGGATGAATGATACCTGGTTTCTTAC